TTAAAGAGAATAAAGTTTGGGCTGGAGAGATGGCTCAGCAGTCAAGAGTACTGACTGCTCTTCCAGAGGTCCTGAGTTCAGTTCCCAGAAACCACATGGTGGCTCACAACCATCTGTAATGAGATCTGGTGCCCTCTTCTGGCCTGCAGATGTATATGCAGGCAGGACACTGTATATATAATAAATGAATAAATAAATCTTTTTTTAAAAAAAGAGAATAAAGTTTCTGTCTTCTGCCTCTGCTTCTGAGTTGGGAATCTGTTGAGTGGACTCAAGAAATGCAGAGACCCTGACTCAGAAACCAAAGGGAACCTCAGCCTGCACACAGCCACCTGCTGCCAGGCCAGCTGATCTTGGTAACCAGTGCTAACAGTGCTAAAGAGATATACCGGCTGAAGAGCCTGGCATCCAACAGATCCAGAAACAGGTGGGTCTGTTGGTAGTAGTCCTTACCTTCTCCGGGGGCAGAGCACACTGCTGCACAATGTAGTCAACCATCACCTCACCTCCAGGCTGCTCCAGGTAGCCATGGTGGGCCATGGCACTTATCACCTGCACCACAGCCAGCTTCACCTGCCCAGAACCAAAAGAAGGTCAGGAAGGGGCACGGGGCACACACCAGGCCCTGTGCTATGCCTGCACCCACATCTATATGTGCACCGCATTTGTGCCCACATCTGTATCAGTGCTCATGTCCGTATATACCCACAACACAACTGTCCCTACAACTGCATCTGCATCTAGACTCAGAGACAGATTGGTCTGGGTATCTACACCCACACCTAGACCCACACCTGCTGTTGTACCTAACACCTGGCTTTACAGAAGTTTGCTCAGCCCTCGGCTAGCAGCCTTTTAGCCACCATGTAACATATGCAGTTCTCAAAAGAAGGCCTCTTTTCCTGCTACCCCACATACATTCTCGCCCTCCTCCCAGCTCCTCAGAAGTTACCTCATCTCACCAATTGCCTTCCTTCACACACTTTTACCAAGCGTCATCCTCAAGGCTATGAAAAGAGCTCTGCTAAAGATCTGCTCCAAACCACCCTGTCCTCCAGGCTTACCTCCCCACCCTACATTTGTGGCATCTTGGTGCCTAACAGACCTGTCCTATCTGCACTGTTCATCTGGCCTTAAGCTATAGGATTGGTGTCCTTCAGAGCTGGCTTCTCTTGTGTGACACCCACATTTCCTGGCTGTTTTGTCCGTTCCCCCAGGCAATGTTTCTCAGACCTTCAACTACCAGCCTAGTTCTGAGCATGCATGGCAAGCCCCAATAGCCAAAATCAATATTTACTCAGGGCCAGTGTCTCCTCTAGTCCACCGTACCCTAACCAGACACTGGCCTCTGCCCCCAGTCTTGTCCCCTTGCATGGGGCCCACTCTTAGGAGCCTTCAGACCCATGAGAATGTTTTTGCTTCCTAGAATGTCAGATCAAATGCAGCTACCCCAAGCAAGTCTCCTGAGATTACCACCCTGTTATCCCTATGTCACATTCATCTGCTGTGGTTGTCTATGGGAACAGCGTGGGTCTGGGTTGGTAGTCAAGTACCCACTCTGAGCATGTATGTGCCCACTCAACAGTGTGAACATAGCATTGTCTGGACCCATAACGAGCTACAGGACCCTGTCACAGGTGTATCAGGGAAGACTGTGCCAGAATATAAAGGTCTAAAGCCTGTTATTTGGACTTTTTGTCAGAAGCTTCTGAAGAAATAACAGTAAGATACACAGGAGGTCTCTGGAAGTTGTACAATGCTGCAGTAGCTCTCAGGGAAGGCTAGCATCCTGTTGCCTCTGAGCATGCAGGCCCTGCTCAAGACAATAGCGCTCAGGGGGCTGGAAAGATCTACCTTGCCCAAAGAAGAGTCTGACCTGTTTCCTAGGCTCCTGGGAGCCCTTGAGATATTCTACTTGGTGAGAATGTCTCATGATCTGGGGCCAGGGTCACCTCCCACAGTAAAAGGAAGGCCTCAGGTAGGAGCCTGCAAGCCACATGGTATAAGTCCCATTTACAGAAGGACTGGAGGCTGAGTGCAGCCATACAGACAGCCCAGCACATCACATAACAGGGCCAAAGGCTCAGGACTCTAAGACTAAGGAATGACCTTAATTGGCAATACTCTTATGTGTGGTCACACATTACTGCCCTGTCCATAAAAGGCAATGGAAAGCCGCAGGTTGGGCATGCCTGCACTCTGTTCCAAGAGCTGCTTTCTAGCTGAGTTTTGTTTTTGAGATCCGTTCTAATTATGCAGCCCAGGATAGGCATGAGCTCCTCTCCTATCTCAGACTCCCAAATGCTAAGATTACAGTCATGAGCTACCACACCCAACTCCCCATCTGATTTAAACAATCCCTGCAGTAAGTGGGGGGTATACCAGCTGCCTGAGTTCTGAGTCCTTCTGGTGAATAGCGAACCTCAGGGTGGTGCTGGAGCCCTCTGGGTCTATGACAGGTCCCAATTCTGAGGTGGTTTGGATTCATTAATGGTTCACTAACTGTGGAAAGGTAGCCTGCTCACACTACATGTGTTCATCTCTCTGCTTGCTTGCACCCACAGACTAGGATAGGCACTTCCAGTGTTCTCGCCACTCTTCTGTTGGCTCTTTGTGATGAGCCAAACTAACTGGTCTATGTCAACAACGGCCACGCTAATCTGCCCACTTTACCTTATTGTTGGTGTCCAGAAGAGGGAGCCTCATGGAAGAGAGTATAAAGGGCTTCTTAACCTCCATTTGAGCAGCTGCAATAAACAAACAAGATGGCTTAGTCCCTACCGACTTAGACCAGTGTCATCCTACCCACATCTACCTTGATGTCTCGGCCTCAGGGGACCTGGCCTCACTTGGTCCTCTTGTAGAAGGAGGACATGGCATAAGACCAAATGCTCTGAAGGAGAAAAAAAATCCCAAATAAGATTTTACCAATAAAAAGTTAAAAGGGATTTTTAATTCTCTGTAGAGTCCTTGTGAATGAAGAACTACACTCTTGAATCTTATGTCGTTGAAATGCAGTGTGCTGCAAACTTTGCAAGGTTAGGGGAAGCAGAGCACAGACCACAGCAGGTCGAAGGAATTAAGGAAATGCCACTGTTAAGCAGGAGCCACAGACAAAACCATCTGAGACATCTATCCTGTCTTTTATGCACTGCAAAATGGTGCCCCCACTCTGAGAGTGCTCAGTTCTCTGTATATGAATTTAGGAAAAGCTCTTTGTATTGCATGTGCCCTTGTCCTCTCTACCAAATACGCTTGCCTTGTTCAATGTAGCTGACTTTCTAAGACAGTCACCTTTGAAAAGAATTGCTTTCTAGCTCATTCAAAAGAAGCCATCATGGAAGCACAGTACCAGTAAGAGATATAGGGGAGCTGTGGGCAAGGACCCTAACCATTAGCTGGGGACTGCGCAGAATACCGAGCCCCTGGGAACAGAATTCAAAGGGCTCTGCTTCCTGCTCAGATTGTGTTTTCTATAAATCACACCCTCTTTTCTATAAAATATTAAATCACAGTGGCTTACAGTCGAAAGACACTCAAGATTCATTTCTCAATCTCCAGCTTCAGCAAATAATGATGATGAATTTAAAGGGGGAGTGCTGGAGGGATGGCTCAAAGATTAAGAGCATGTGCTGTTCTTCCAGAGGATGTGAGTTCAGTTCCCAGCACCCATGTCAAGTGGCTTACAGTCATCTCCAGGAAAACCTGACACTTCTGCTCTCTGAGGGTACACTCACTCACATGCACAAATCTATAAACAGACATACACATATATAATTAAAAATAACAAAAAGAAGTTAAGCAGTGGTGGCGCACACCTTTAATCCCAGCACTCAGGAGGCAGAGGCAGGCAGACCTCTGTGAGTTTGAAGCTAGCCTGGTCTACAGAGCGAGTTCCAGACGACCAGGGCTACACAGAGAAACTCTGTCCTGAAAAACCAATAATAATAATAACAACAATAATAAAAAGAAATTTAGAAAGAAAAAGAGAGGGGCGGGAGAGACGGCTCAGTGGTTAAGAGCACTGGTTGTTCTTTCAGAGGACCCAGGTTCAATTCCCAGCCCTGCCCCTCATGGCAGCTCACAACTGTCTGCAAATCCAGTTCCAGGGAATTCGACATCCTCACACCAATGCACATAAAAAATAAAGTAAACTAATTTTTAAAAATAAATAAACAAAAGAAAAAAAGAGAAAAACCAAGGTGGGGGTGGGGCAGATGGCTCAGTGAGTAAAGGCCGTCAAGACTGTTGAGTTTCATCCTTGGGACCAACATTACAGGAGAGAACCAATTCTTGTAAGTTATTCTCTGATGTCTACTTCCTCTTCACAGCACTCACATACCCACAGTAAACAAACACAAATAGATGAAGTTTAAACATATCTTTTAAAATGCTAAGCAGGGGACTGGAGAGATGGCTCAGAGGTTAAGAGCACTGACTGCTCTTCCAGAGGTCCTGAGTTCAATTTCCAGCAACCACATGGTGGCTAACAGCCATCTGTAATGAGATCTGGTGCCCTCTTCTGGCATGGAAGGAATGTTGTATACATAATAAACAAACACACAAACAAACAAACAAATAAATAAAATGCTAAGCAGCTGGCAAGTGAGGCGACAGAAGAAAAGTGGCTCAAACTTTGGGAAGTCAGTCAGTGACTGTAACTAAAGTGGCATCAGCCACCAGATGGTTATCAGCTGGCGTAACAGTCCTGGGTAGCTGGGTACCTCTCACCCGTACCAGGTGACTGTCGCTGTGGCTCCTTGCTCAGAATCAGCAACACAACCTTTTATCTCCTAACACTTTTTTTTTTCTTTCTCGAGACAGGGTTTCTCTGTGTACCAGCCCTGGCCGTCTTGGAACTCAAATCTGTAAGCCAGGCTGGCCTCGAACTCACTGAGATCCACCTACCTCTACCTTCCAAGTACTGGGATTAAAGGCGTGCACCATCACCACTCGGCTTATCTCCTAATATTTAAAAGGAGATTCCAGATGGCCACTAAGTGCTCAACTCAGCAGCACATATATTGAAACTGCAATGAAGCACAGAAGATTAGCATGGGCCCTGTGCAATGACGACATTCAAATTTGTGAAGCATTCCATATTGTTATATAGTGGATTTCACTTTTTATGATGAATTTAAATAGATATTATGAAATAGCTATCACTGGATGTGGTACGTGCCTGTAAACCCAACAGAAGGAGGCAGGAGGATCCTGAGCTCCAGGCTAGCTGAGGAGGCTGACGTAGGAAGCAAGTGAGTTCAAGGTCAGTCTAGGCTTTAGAGCAAAACTGTCTCAGAAAATGGGAAGTAAAGAGGCTGGGCAGACTGCTCGGCAGTTAAGAGTGCTGACTGCTCTTGTAGAAGACCTGGGTTCAGTTCCCAGGGCTTACATCAGGCAGCTCACAATCACTTGTAACTCCAATAAAGCATCAAATGTCTTCCAACCTCCAAGGGTACCTGCTCATGAGTTCATGTAGGGACAGCTACATGCATATGATAAATAAACAGCCTGATGGTGGAGTACGCCCTTCTTCCCAGCATTTGGGAGGCAAAGGCAGGTGGATTTCTGTGAGTTCAAGGCCAGCCTGGTCTACAAGAGCTAGTTCCAGGACAGATTCTAAAGCCACAGAGAAACCATGTCTCAAACAAACAAACAAACAATCTTTTCTTTAAAAGTTAAAAAGGGAAGAGAAAAGAAGACGCCATACACAACGCAGGTAACACACTGCTTGGGACCACGTTTTCCTTATATTGATAGTCCAATATGGAAGATGTCATCCTCATCCCGATTGCAAAAGCCAGGAGCCTGGACCCAGACGGCACATGGCCCTCAGAACACAAGCTCCCAGAGCAGCAAAAGGAAGAGCCCAACACAGAGGGTGGAGGCCTCAAAGAAAGATGGCCTTATCTCCAGTGCCCCAGCACCTCCACTCTAAAATACTTCTTGAGCCATTCCTTTCCTGCCCCGGAGCCACCACAACCAAGTCCTGGTAGTAATAACATAAGATGCAGAAAAATGAGGTGTGTACTATAAAAGCTCAGGCAATAGAAATTCTAAATCTGACCTGTGTCAAATGCGCAGTGTATAAGATGCTGAATAATATTCATGATCCTTAAAACTGAGGTAGGAAGCAAAGATGGTAACACCATGAAACTTCTGCGAACAGAGTCTGGAGACAGTCACCAGGAAGTGGATGGCTTCAGCGCTACAGGAAGGAGCTTCACAGAGAGTGCTGGTGACAGCCACACCACAGTGGGGCTGTGCTCAACATCACTGAATTATGCCACCTGTATATGACATCATTTTAGAACAAATAAAAATAACACCAGGGCTGGCGATGCGGCCGAGCTGGCAGGGTATTTGCCTGGCAGACATAGGGCTCAAGGTTGAATCCCCAACACTGAATAAGAACAAGTGCAAGGTAAACACCCCAAATCCCAGGAGGATGAGGAGCTCAAGGCCATTCTCAGGTGTAAAACAAACACAAAGTCAACCTGGGATACCTGACACCCTGTATTAAAGAAAAAAATCAAATGAAACAAAATATCAATGGTCAAGCAGAGCACAGCAGTACCTTTAATCCCAACACTTGGGGGGCAGGGGCAGGGGGATCTCTGAGTTTGAGGCCAGCTTGGTCTACAGAGTGAGTTCCAGGACAATCAGGGATATATAGAAAGACTTTGTAACAAAAAATGAATAAATAAATAACAAAACTAAGTATAGCTAGTCCCTGGAATCTTATAGATAAAGACAAAAAGGTGTAGATGATAAGGCTATTTCATTCAAGACCCGGACTGCTCACTGGGCTAGAGGTTCATCTGTGCTGTGTGAATTTTTAAAAGAAATTTAAAATGAATCTGTGTCCTACCTGAAACTCATATTGAAGCCTAAAAAATGTCTCATTCAAGTTCACCTTTAGATGACTACGGTCTCTCAAGGAGCAATAGATAGCCTTATCTTCCTGAAGTTGCTATCCTGGTCCTATTTTATATGGCTTTAAGTTCATAGAAGAACTGAGGCAAACCTGAGTTCAGAGCGCTACCTAGTGTTAAAGTGACGAGGTGACTATAGGCTCAGACAACATAATAATAAAACTAGACTCCAGGAAATGTATATGCCTGTGTGCTCCATTCTTGCCCGTACCAGGACTTTGCTGATTTGGATAATCTTGGGAAAGATAGTTTGTTCTGATACAGTCTGGCACATAAAACAGCTGAATAGCGGCTTGCTGCAAAATTAGTTACTCTGGCTAGGATGCAAAGGATTGGCTTAAGATGGATATTTTAGAAAAACAATGCATACCTACAATCTGAAATTTCTGGTTCAAGATACACATCCGACTAAGTGTGCACAGAAAAAAATGGAAACAGCAGTCTTTACAGTAAAAAAAAAAAACAAAAACCTGAAAGAATCAACATATCCATAGCCAAGCAAATGAATAACTTGGAGATTAACTCCACAGTTCATCACACACGGCACAATTTCCCTTTCTTAACACAACATGCAAAACAGAAGCATCATCTTGAGCTGGAAGCTACCCCTCAAAGACCTGCTAGTGGCCCCTGGGCACTGCCAAAGTCTTTCCTCATTCTTCATCCAGGTGGGAAATAATGGGCTTGTGATAATGCAATAGAAGAATTAACTCAGGTTGGGCGGTAGTGGCACAAGCCTTTAATACCAGCACCTGGGAGGCAAAGGCAGGTTGATCTGTGATTTCAAGGCCAACCTGGTCTACAGGGCGAGTTCTAGGACAGTCAGGGCTGTTACACAGAGAAATACTGTCTTGAAAAACCAAAGACAAACAAACAAACAAACAAGAATTAACGGTAAAGGGGGGATGGGAGATGAGAACATGAGGAATGGAGCAGAGAGTGATGAAAGAGAGATCTTGATAGAGCCACTATGGGGTTAGAGAAAGAAAGTCCCAAGATTCCACAAGGACGGCCCCAGCTAAGATTCCTAGCAACAGTGGAGAGGGTGCCTGAACTGGTCTTCCCCTAGAATCAGATTTGGGAATACTCCAACTATCGTCATAGGGCCTTCAGTCAGTAACTGACGGAACCAGATGGCGAGATCCACAGCCAAGCACCAGACTCAGCTCTAGGAATCCAATCAAAGGGAGCAAGGGAGGTCGAGATCATGATGGAAAAATCTACAGAGACAGATGAACCAAGGTTGTGGAAACTCAAGAACTCTAGACTGACAGCTGTGGAGTCTCCATGGGACTGAATTAGGACCCCTATATGTGGAAGACAGTGGTGAAGCTTGAACTTTATCTGATGGGCCCCTGGCAGTAGGACCAGGATCTATCCCTGGTGCATGAGCTAGCTTGTTGGAGCCCATTCCCAATGGTGGGATGCTATGCTCAGCCTTAGTGCAGTGGGGAGAGCCTTGATCCTGCCCCAACTTAATGTGCCAGACTTCACTGATTCCCCATGGGAGCCCTTACCCATTGGGAGGAGTGAATGGGGGGTGGGTTGGGGGGGATGCAAAAGAGGGTGGAGGAGGAGCGGGAGGGAGAACTGTGGTTGGAATGTAAAATGAAATTTAAAAAAATAAATAAATAAAAATTTTTAAAAAAGAATTAACTCAGAAAAGATGAGCAAGGTTTACCTAGTCACAGACCAATGCTAAGCTCCCCCTACCTAAAGAAAGAATTTACTTTTTCAATAAAAATCATTTTGCTGTAATGAAATCAGTAAAGCATCACACAGCTAGATGAAGGAATCTAGTCAAATGCTGGCCATGGTGGTGCACTCCTTTAATCTCAGACATCCAGAGTTATGTAGAGAGACTCTGTCTCCAAATAAACAAACAAACAAATAAATAACAACAGCTCGGCTGTCTTGTCCTGGAACTCACTCGTAGACCAGGCTGGCCTTGAACTCAAGAGATCCATCTGCCTCTGCCTCCTGAATATTGGGATTAAATGCATGTGCTACCACTGCCCAGCTCCACTATGAACTCTTTTTCTTTCTTTCCTTTTTAAAGATTTATTTATTTATTATGCATGCAGTGTTCAGCCTGTACGTATGCCGCACACCAGAAAAGGGCATCAGATCTCCTTACAGATGGTTGTGAACCACCATGTGGTTGCTGGGAATTGAACTCAGGACCTCTGAAAGAGCAATGCTCTTAACCTCTGAAGCCCATCCCACTTGTGAACTCTTAAATGCAAACACACACACACACACCTAAAAAAAGCACCAAGGATCCACATCTGGTGCCTTAAGCCTGAAATGCAGGCTTAAGAGTGTAGGCTTTGCCGGGCAGTGGTGGCACACGCCTTTAATTCCAGCACTTGGGAAGCAGAGGCAGGCGGATCTCTGTGAGTTCGAGGACAGCATAGTCTACAAGAGCTAGTTCCAGGACAGGCTCCAAAGCCACAGAGAAACCCTGTCTTGAAAAACAACAACAACAACAACAACAAAAGAGGAATGCAGGCTTAAAGGCTTAAGGAATGGTGTCTAGAAGAGCTCCAGACCACAAGATCTACCTTTCTGAACCTCATATGTAAATGCCTCCCAATGTGGCCCATGGTCACTGACTTTGAAACTCCGACGGGGCATGAATGAAACTCACTGAAACACAAACCCACCTGTATTGCTGTGATTATCTTTTCGAAGCTTACTGTTAAGCAAATAAATCTCACTTAAAAGAAGGAAACTTGGGGCTAAAGGTATTGTTCAGAGGCAGAAAACCTGCACAGCATGTGTGGAGCTCTAGGTCTGTGGTGGTTTGAAGAAGAGTGGCCCCATAGGCTCATTTATTTGAATGCTTCCCGGTGGGAAGAAGAGTCTGGGAAGGAGTAGCAGGCATGGCCTTGTTGGAAGAGGTGTGTCCCTGGGGCAGGCTTTTTCTGAGGTTTCAAAAGCCCATGCCAGCCCCAGTTTTCACATGCTTGTGCATGGCCCGTATCCCCCACCTCCAAATAAACCTTTTCTTCTATAAGTTGCCTTGGTCATGGTGTCTTATCAGAGCAGTAATAACTAAGACAAAGTTCACTTGTGAAAAGCACCAAGATAAAACATTGTTATGAACAGTAATTCAAAGCAGGATGCTTCTCTCAGCTGTGAGGCGGACATTATCCTGGTATTACTCTGT